AGTGATAACTAGTTAGGAATATTTTGAATTTTCTTGGATGTTAGATGAATAAGTAGATCATCACTATGTTAAAATTTGGTTTATCAACAATATCTGCTAAGAATTGTTGTTATAAATAAATATTGTTCCATGTGTAATCTCCAGTTGTAGCAAACCATCACTTATTTAAGCTAATAAAATATGGCAGGGAGTCTGAGTTGCAAAATATTTTGAAATAATTTTTATACAAAAGAATATTTTTATGTAAAAGAAGAAATCAGAATAAATCTTTATGAAATAATTGTTGCATAATAAAGTTTTATAATAGTCTTCTTTTACTAAAGAGATACATTTTAATTAGTGACTATTGGTGCTTCTCAGATACTTAGAGAATTTGAAAATAGTTGCCTCTGTGAGGAAATTCCTTCTCTTTGCAAACCATGTTTGCAGTGTTTGATCATTTTTTTAGAAAATTGTTGGTGCAAAGAAAAGTTTCATAAGATTTAGTAAGCTTTTATTGTTTAGCTGTTTCTATTCATTCCCATATAAATCCATTGATCTAAGCCTTAATTACTGTCACAAAGTTAATAGTTATGGACTAGTAATAGAAAATATGTGGGGTCAAGTGAGTGAGAAAACTGTCACCAATGAATGGAACCTATAGAGAGCCAGTGTGATTTTGTGAAGTACCAGTAACACAGGTTAAGAATTGAGCTTTGGAACCACAGAGAGCTGGCCCCAGGCTCTACCTCATACTGTAATCTCCAGCAATAGTTTTCAGCTCTCCAGGCCTCAATTTACCCATTGGTAAAATAAATATGACTCTAATAGCATATTCATCACAGGGCCATTGTTGGATTAAATGACATAAGGCCTACAAAAATGCCTAGAAATATCTTTCAGGGTAGCTTCATTCATTTCCATCACCTAATTTCCATCTTGGTGGTGACAGCCAAAAGCTCTGATCTCTTCACTTATGGTCAGATTCATGGGTCTCAAACCTACTTACCATTGCCATGTGGGTGTCACAAAAACAGCTCAGATTTAGCATGTCCTACAGGAACCTTAAGTTTTGTTCCTCATAATCCTGTTTGCATGCCCTATCCTATCTTTCCTATCTCAGTAAAGGGCACCATAGTTCACCAATATATGTAGGCCAGAAACTGGAAATTCATCTTTGGTTCTTTATTTTCTCTCATCTTCCTCATCTAACTAATCAGTAAAACTTTATAGTTCAGTCAAGTGGTTCACACTTCAGCATGCTCTACAAGCTTTGTTTACTCCTTTGTAAGCTTACTGGCTCACATCTGTCCTGTTCTCTGCTACACAAGTTCAACTGTAAAGACACATCAGTAGGGCTCCTGTGCCCTCTGGCTTCTGGTTGCTTTTTATGAAAAGGGAGGCTTGATAAGGGTTAGGGGAAAGGGAATAAAGAAGTCATGGGATAGATCCTTCTCCCCGTGAGGTTAAGTCTGCTGTGTTGAGCTGCCTCTATTCCTCCGACCCATGGTCACTGTTCTACTCAAGGTTGAAGACTCTACCTAACTGTCTCTGTTTCCAGGGTCTGGTGACTACTCTGTCTCCTATCCCTTCAAGACTAGGGGTGGAAACAGCCTACCTGTAAACACACAGCTTTGTAATAATACTTTTGTAAATAAATCTACCTTCTGGAATCATTTACTTTTGAGATTTCCTTTTTTCTACTAGAATCCTCATTGATGCAGATACTAAACTTGGGCTTTCTCTGCGATTAACTGTAACAAAGCACCATTTTACTCTAATCGGCAACATCACACCCACAGTGTTTGTATGTGGGGTAATGTGGAGCATGATCTCTTCTCAGGGAAACCTGACGTAATCTCTCAGTTACTGAATTCCTCCTCCAAATTTTGCAACTCCTACAGGATTTCTGCTTTGGAGAGGAAGGATTGAAATGGGGGAAAAAAGAGTCACAATATGTATACAATTGACTGATTCCTTTTCTTACTTTTACCTTCTCATTTTCAAGCCACTGGAAAGAAAAGCAGGAAGAGTCTCCACTTCTTTCTTTCTGGTTGTGACGTCTTTCTAATGTCCTCTACACTCAGAAAACATTTCCTTTTTCTGATTATCTGGAGCTATAATAGCTGGATTTTGCTGAGAAATGTGATTTACAAGAGTAAGGAATAAATAAACATGCATTTAATATTTTCAAAATGTCCTCATCAGTTACTTATAAATCAGATGATATCATTCATTTTCTTAAACCCTTTACAGACTGCCTAATTGTGTGTAACATGTACACTTGTTAACATTACCTGCAGGTCCAGTGGGATCAGGCTCTTGCTTATATTTCCAACCCAACTTCCCAATATTCTCACCTGATAGTAGTACTTAAGTCACACTGGTCATCTTTCAGATGTTTTTTCCTGAATATGCCAAGCTGTTCTAATTCAGGACCTTTGCACATGCTGTTCTCAGCCTGGAACAATCAATTTCCACCACTCTCTGCATGGCCAAACTGTTCTTTTACTGAGCTCTCATTTTAAAATTTGCTGTCTTCTCTTACCACCTTCCCCACAAAACTGTCTCTAAAATTGTTCTCTACAGTGTTTCTTGGATTGTTTCCTCCATTATGATTATTGTATTTGCCATCGTCTTATTCATGTCTCAAGTTTATTTGTTTTATTTAACATCAGATAAGTGGTAAAATTTCAAGTTCATTTATTTATTTGTCCAGCAGAATGAAGGCTCTTCATGTCAGGTATGGTCACCACCATTGAATTCCTGGCTTCTAGCACAGTGTCTGGCGTAAAGCAAACCCACAATTAAGACTTGTAGAATGAGAATGAATGAAGTATAATACTTAGTATGGAATAGGTGTTCAATAAATCTGGTTTGCATTGCTGCTGTGAAATTAAAACCAGAAAAGCCAGTATTGATGCTGCCCATCACCTACCAGACCCCATAAGGAGAGACGGGGATTGAATATTTGGGGTGTTTTATTGAAATGGCCAGCAATCTGAGAAGACAGCAGGTTTAGATCCCTATAGACCATCTTAAATTCCATTTTCAACTGACTCTTCTTATAAAAAGAAGAAAAGTATAACTAAGGGGATTAGAATTCAGGGAAAAAGTTAATCAGATATAAAGCTGCAGCATTCTTTCATCTGTGCCCTGGGTGTGGCCTTTATCTGTATCCTGGGGGTCCGAATCTCACCCTGGAGTACAATGGCTCAGATACCACCTAGATTGCTTGCAGTCCTCCTGAGGCACAGAGGTGGAACTGCTTAGGGTCTCCTGGAGTCCAAGTGGGTTATACCTTCAGTTCCTGAAACACTAGCTTTTAACATACATTGATGACTCAGCTGATTAGCTATTAGCTGAAACTAAATTTTTTCCCAACATTTGAGGCCCCCATTGAAATCTTAATCTAATTAAATTGTGATAAACTTGAAAATATCTCCTGAATAGAATCAGACTTTTATTTCATCTCATGCTTATTTTAGAGGCCCTTTTAGCAGAGTCCTATTAAGATGTTTATTTAGCCAAGCCAAACATACTACATAATATAACATGACATCGATTGCTGGCACGACCTTGGTAAGTTTTTCCCTCTATGTAAATATGTCTTTTGGATTTTCTATATTTTTCCATGGATACATATAGGGTTTTTTAGTTGAAAAATTTCGTCTCTCATTCTGGGATAAACAAGTTGCCCTATGTGAACAACATATGTAAATGTCACAGGTGGGCACAGGTAACCACGTTCTTGGAGATCGTGGACAAAGAATTGAATTGAATACACAGAGAGTTTATAGTGGAGAGAGAGCAGATTTGTTAAGCAATAGCACACTCCACAGAACGTGGGAGAGGGCCAACTTCAAGCAGAGACTGACCTCAGGGGCTGCAGGGGACTCTATCCTAACAGGGCAGATATTTCCTGGTTAGTTTTGGTAGGCTTTTATTGCGCATGTACAAGTAGTTTTATATTACTTTAAAGCTATTGCTCGTGTGGTCTCCTATGATTTTCTTTGATTGGCTACTGGGGGAGGGGGCCCGCAATGTTAATTTATTATAATGCTATTATAATGAAACAGGAGTCATGTAGCATCTTCTGTGCAGGTGCATTCATGATTCACCAAGATTCAGCACTTTTCCAGAAATCAGGAACAAACAGTATTAGAACAGGGCCTCTGTCCTGAATGGATGTCTTTTATCTTAGCCCTGGGCACCTCTGGAGTTTCATCCTTCTTGACTGACTATCTCCTGCCTCAGAAAGGTCCACATGGTGAGAAACCATAGCTTCTGGTCAGCAGTTAGCAGGAAACTGCAGCCTGCTGGCAAATCTGTGGCTGGGCTTGGAAACAGATCCTCCAGCCTCAGTTGATCATTGAGATGACTGCATTCCCACCTGGTAGCTTGATTGTAGCCTAATGGGAGACCCTGAGCCAGGAAAACCCAGCTAACTGGCCCCTGGGCTTTTGATCCTCAAAAATTGTATGAGATAGCAAATGTTTGCTGTTTTAAGTGAGGTAAGTTTTTGGATAATTTGTTAGGGAGCAGCAGATAACTAATACAGATTTTGGGACCTGGAGGTAGAGTGTTGCCATAATAAAACATAAATGTTAGAGTGGCATTTACACTGTGCTGTGGGCTTTGAGGAGAGCGTTGGTGAAGGCTGAAGGACCTTGGAGATGTTACTAGAAACTTAATGATCTTTGAGAAGGATGTGAAGTGAGGGCTTACAGGAAAGTGTGGAAAATCTTATTGAAACTGGAGGAAGGGAAATCTTTATTAGGGAGTGTCAAAGAGTTTAGCAAAACTACTGCCTATAGTTATGTGGAAAGTAGAAAATGTACCTAATGAATTTGTGTGAACCAGCTAAGGAGATTTCTAACCCGAGGGATGTGGACGCGTCCTGGTTTCTTCTTCCTGCATGTTGTAAAATGTGAAGGGAGAGAGATAAATTAAAGGAAGGACTATTAAACAAAATGAGTCATGACTTGATGGTGTTGAAAATGCTCTCTCTACCTTCCGAGATGGTAGACTGTGCTAAAATGAAGACACGGGTTCTGAATGAAGTTCAAATGCCAGGAAAATATGGTTCAAGGTTGAAACCAAGAGTATGACAGGCAAAACTTTTGTTAAGCCTTCAGCAATATCAGAAGGTAATGCCTTAGAATAGTATCCACCTGACAAAAGGCATGCTGAAGAGATTAAGACTTTGCCTCACAGATCCTCTGAATCACCAAAGGTTTTCTAGGGGGATGGAGGTCATTATCCCTCATCTTCTCACTGATACAGAAGGTCATATCTGGAAGATATTTGTGGGTTTAGTTTTTGTCTACTGAAGTGGACTGAAATAAGGTTCAAAAAAGATGTACAAAGTTTTAAATGGAACAATAAAAGCAGAACCATCACTTGCTTGGACCAAAAGGGATAGAATAAAAGAACAAAATGAGAAGAGGCCTTTGGCCTCCCAAAGTCTTCTGGCAGGAAGCAGGCTGGGAAAGCTGCTTTGCTAAAAATATTGGCTACTTTTCATTAAAAAGAAAGGAAGATTCAGAATGTGTAACCAAGAGTCCAGAGGACAGAGTGGAGACCCTTGGAGGGTTACTCTCAGACTGAGACTTAATCAAGGAACTGCCAACGTTTGCTTGTCTGGATTTCATAATTGCTATGGACCCTTTATTCTGGCCTCCTGTTATTCAAAACTCTGTATAGTTTCCATCCCCCACTTTCCCACAGTTGATCTGTGTGACCCATATAGTGCAGCAGAAATGATGGTATTTTATTTCTAATATTAGGTTATAAAGAAGTGCAGTTTCCAACCTCAGTTCTCTCTCTCTTTCTTGCTCTGTCTCTCATCCATCCTCTTATCATTCACCTTCACTAAATACACTGGTACTTGCTTATATGACACATTTTCAGAATATCTGGGGGAATATTATTAATAAGGTTACTATACATTATAGTTTGCATGGGATAGTCCTAGGTTATGCCTGTTGTTCTAGAATAATTAAATTTCTCCCTCTACTCCCAATATATCCTGGATTGAATGATAAATTACATGTGATCACAATTATTATTAACATATTTAGGATTCAACACATCCAGACACATGTCTATCTACATTTTGTTAAACTGTGCCATTGTATGAGATGTATAAATGTGTGTAAGGTGGGGCATGGTGGAATAGAGAGAGAAAAAGGGGCAAAAAAGGTGTATTGACATCTACTAAATATTTCTATTTTTTAAAATGGTGTTTACTATTTTCTTTACCTTTCTAGCTAAGAAGTGACTAAGCTTAGTGAGAAAAGTCAGATTAAATAATCATGTGGTTGCTAAAGATAATTCCAATGTTCTAATTTTTCTTATATCCTTAACCTTTAAAAGTCAGCATATCCTTGTTTTAGAAAATCCAACTTTTACAAAGATTTTCAAGTGTGTTTTGAATCAACTTCATTTTATTTCTGTTTTTTTTTCCATGCAGGATTCTAAATTTGAAGGGGAAGAACTCAATCAATACATCCCTATGTCTTGTTTGAAGACCGACAAAATATTTGAGAAGTAGGTTCTTTAATGGTAGATTTATTTTATTTTTTGTTTGCTATGGATTAAATATGGGCCAGTTATAAGTGATAGTCACTCTCCAGTTTGACTCACCTCAAGGGTCAGGTTTGTGGGAACCATAACCTTAGGGACTCCCGAGATATATTTCTTTCCCTTCATCCATATACAAGATCTGGCCAGAATGTATCTAGCCATATACTATGAAAAATAGAGACATTTATTGGAGAAGAAACAAAATAGAAAGCACTGCACATAGGACAACGACACCTCAGTTGCCTTCAAAGTAGGAGTCTTGGGAACTCATACAGTTCTCCCAATCATCATCAGCTGCCCCATCATATTTTCCTGAATCTCATCAAGAGTCTGAAATCTCTTCGCTTTCAAATGGTGATTTTATTTAAGTTTTGGGAAAAGTTGTAGAGCACCAAATCTGGGCTGTAGTGGGGCTAAGTCACCTGGGTGATTTGATGTTTCACCAAAAAACACTGCGTGAGACATGATGCACGAACAGGTGCATTGTCATGATGAAGCTGCCAATCACCAGTTGCCCATAGCTGCAGACTCCCAAATTATCCAAATAGTTTCCATGGAGAAATGTTCAAGCTTAATGTAAAATCTGATGCAGGTTCATTGTTCTACTCACTTAGTCATTTTGAATGTGACAGCCACGCAATGTACATGCTCACTCAATGGAGCCTACTGCCCCCAATGACTAGTACAGTGAAGTTGTCATTGTTCATGCATGTGCATTCCAGTGCAATCTCCTTCACTGCCAGGTTATATTGATGTCACACAGACTGTTCTTGTTGTATTAATAATGGTTAGGCTCTTTCTGGACAGACCTCATATAAGAGTTTGTGGGTGGGACATTATAGTAATGAGAGTATAACTGGGAGTCATGTATTATTTATTTCTGAAAAAAATACTCGAGCTCTTGGTCTAGTGTAGGACCTTCCGAGATCTGGTTGTGGCAGTTGCTATTCTTCCATCCCAGTATGACAGAGGCAGTACTATTGGTATAGGTGCAGAAGGATTCTCAAGTCAGATGGTCTAACTTTGAACCTCAGGCTTTATTTACTCTTTATGACTATGCGAGCTTAAACAAGATGCTGAACATGCCTTACACTAGATTTCTCTTCCTTGCAAGAAATACCTTGTTCAATTATTTTAAGGGTTAATTGAAATAATAAATATAATGTTTTTAAAAGTTTGCCTGAGCATCTCAAGCACTCAATAAATACTGGTTAATATTGTCCCTTGGGGTTTCTCAATAGAGATCATTTTTTCCCTAGGAGATATTTGGCAATGCCCGAAGAAGTTTTGAGTGTCCTGACTGGGAGAGATACAGGGGAAGATCTGTTAATGGCATCTGGTTGGCAGAGGCCAGAGACCTTACTAAACATTCTGCAAAGCTGAGACCAGCCCCTACAGCAAAAAAAAAATATATATATATGTGGCTCTAAATGTCAATAGTGCAGAGGCTGAGAAACCTTGTTGTACATTGGTGCTCTCTATTCATCATCATTTTACTTAAGTTGTAATCCTACTAACAGTGAGTAAGATATTAGCTGGAGTGGAACCTGACTCTCGGTAAAGATTATTCAGCACCTGAGAGAGTGGATCATTGGTACAGGACTATATATATCTGAGGTGCCATTCTAATGCTAAAGCCTGAGATTAGTGAGATGTAGAATTAGCATGCCTCCCATACCCAACATTGCTAATGCTGGGACTTTACACCAGGAAGATGGCCAGGGAGGTCCACAGGACATTATAAGCAAGAGAGCTGATTATTGGCTAACTTACAACAGTGAAAACTGGAAGTAACCTGAATATCCAACAATAAGGGATTATTTAAATAAATTATAGTTTAACCTTAAATTAAATACTAGGTCACCACTAAAAGTTATGCTGTAGAAAATAAATTAATTTAATTGAAAATGCCCATAATGTCCAAAGTAAAAAATACACATTCCAAAATAATATTTATAGCATCCACCTCATTTTGTAAGGGATGAAAAAGTGTATCTAGCTACCCAGCTATGAAGAATAAGTATATAAGTGCTGTATGGAAGGAGAAAAAGAATACTAATAATATGCTATAGGATGAAATTCCAAAGTGATATGAGGTCTTGCCTGGCTGCTGGTCTAGAATCCGACTGCCCCAAGGGGACAGCGAGTGCCCAGTTTGTCTCTGGTAGTGAGTGTCACATTAAACCTTTTGATGTGCATTCTGCTCCTTTAGACTAATGAAGGTATTTCCATAAAGTCTTTAATTACAAAAAACTGGAATTGCAACAAAGATCTTGCTTGTGTCACTCTCCCCCTTAGGATGAAGTTAGCATTTGATTATTAAGTTTTTAGGATATTTCATGAGTGCCTTACAATTCTTGCCAAGGGAACAAAGAAAGAAACTGAGGAAACCCTCTCATTATGCTTAACATAACATGTTTATGTTTACTAATGAAATCTGTTTACCTTCATAACTGTATAATAGGACCATTAGAGACAATAGATACAGTAGTTTAAAAGTAATAAAATCTACAACAAAGTGTATTTAATTTAAAATTGAATTGCTAGCAAATGGGTGTCCTAATGAACCCTTGTGTCAATGTAGCTCTAACTGAATTAAGGGAAATCATTTCTATTACAGAAAACTAAATCAGCTGTGAGATCCAAAAAGGCCATTCCTCTGGCGGGGGGTGGGGGGTGGGGTGCAGTCATTGTCACAGATGGCCCCACTCATGGAATTAAGCGGAAGTCGGGAGAAGTGAAATAAAATATCTTTCTTAATTCAACAGAATTTGGGAAAGCAGGCAAATGCTTTTCAGTCTTGTTAGTCTAAAAAACAAACCCCGAAATTAAAATAAACAAACCTCAAATACAGAAAAAAAAAGCCTGAGAACATAGTAAAGGTAGAAATAGACCTTGATCTCTGGCCATTGCATTAAAAGAGGAAAAGTTTTCATTATATCAGCTGTTCATCTACTTAAATTATTTTTATTACTTAGATTTCTCTTAACAGTTCATAAGATTGAAGAGGTGCAGTAGAAAATGAAGTGGCAGTAAGTCTTAATAAATATTTGATCTTCTGGTAATTTCTGAAACTAGCCATATTTTAACTGTTGTAAGATCAGTAGTTAATATAGTGAGTCCTATATTTTATAAGGGTCACATTTTAAAAGCTACTCACCTCCCAATTTTAATCAACTATAGCATCCGTAACATATTTATCCAATTCCCAGAGAATCTGACAAAATGTTTAAGGAAAACATCAAATCATGTTGTAGTTCCAAAGGGAAACCTCTTCATTATCCTCCATTGTTAATTTCTCTTTCTTTTATTTTCCTTCTTGTCATAACTGCTGCAGAGCTCCAAGTCAACTACTAACTGCAGACAGAAATGTTTGTCAAGAAGACAGTGCAGCCAAGCTTGGTGCTCTTGTAGAAGGAACTCATGAATCAAAGGGAACAGCAGGACCTCGCTGGCAGGTGGGACTGCTGTGCATTTCTTTTTCTCTGCTGTAAAATGTTAAATGATGAGGTCAATTGTATTGACTCATTTTCCTGTTGTGCTTTTCTCCCTGTAGGACCTTTTAGAGAAACACAATTTTATCAGGTCTTAAATATTTTTGAGGAGAATTCTATGCTCAAGTGGAATGGCTAAAACTCTCAACTGCAAAGCCATTGGAATTTCTTAAAGCTGCCCATTGTACCAGGCTGGGTTCTCACTAGACAATAGGCCTGTCTGCCACCATGCAAATGAGACAAGCCTTGAGATTTGATGAATCTTCTATCTCCTTTTCCTACTTGTCTGACACTCGCTTTGAGGAAGGTTGTAAATGCAAGAAAGATTGTAGTATAATTCCTCAGACTGGCATTTGTGCCCCCTAGTCACTATTCGATTATCTTCCAAATTGCTGTGTTTCAGAGAGATAAAGATTTTTTATGGCTTGCTGACTTGAAACAACCACAAGAGCCAGCAAAGAGATGGCTAAGCGGCCATGCATAATAATTCCATTGGTAAATGACAAAATCTTTGTTTGTGTGACATTTCTAAAATTACTACAGAAGATGAATCTAAAATACAAAATGTCACATTTGGCATGCAAAACTATCACAATATATTTCAGTATAAAATTCATAGAGGCGTTTAATTTAAAATGTGTTTAATAACTCAGTCTGCCTGCATCAGTAATCCTGCCTTGAGGTTTAAAGAGATTGTCTTATTTATTCACATAGTGTTAAGTTTAAAAATATTTTTGGAAACCAAAATATTAAGGTTAAGTCTTTATTGTTAATTAAGATTTTCTAATTAAACCAACAATAATTGTTATTCTGATTAGTTTTTAAGTATGACGTACTAAAAACAAAGGAAGTTTAACAACTTTCACTGTTTATTTCATTGTGATTTGATTCCAGAAATGTACTGTCTATATGGAAATGCATATTATCTTTCATGAAATAAAATCTAGGCAGGATTACAAAGTGCTTACTGTTGGCGGTAGATTAATGAGTAGTGCTTTAACTCGGGTAGCCAAGAGACTAACCTGCTTCCAAAAATGACGTTATTTTTGCTTAAAGCATAATGTAATAGAGAATTCTTCAAAGTCAAATTATTCTAAAGACTATTAGGAGCTTGTGAGTATAGAAAACATGACTTAATGACATTTGAGTTATTAATAATCCCAGTTTAATTTTTGTTTAATCTGAAACAATAGTCCATTAAAAATCTTATCAATTTGTATAAACTTTTTAGCACTTATTAAAAATGAAAATGCCCTATTTCTCTGACTGAAAGTAAGCAATGAAATTCAAATGTCCTGTAAAATATTCTTGAGTCCTGTTCTTCAGGTAGATGTAATTTAGACTGAGATTTAGGTTAAAGCACACACCAATGCTCTGCACACCACTTTATTTTTTCTGGCTCTATTTTGAAGCTGTGGGGCAAGTTGATTTCACATTGAAATGAAATCAAAGTATTCGATCCCGTGAGGTGTTGGTCTGACCTGTTTTGCACTACATTCATCAACAGGGCACTTGGTCTTTGATTAGTGTTAGAGGCAAGGGCTGTCCTTTTTCAAACTCAGAATTTGAAGTTTACTGCTCATGTTTACCCATCCCAGATATCTTAGGCATGCTGTGTGGTTTTCAGAAGTGTTGGTTTCCTGTTAATTCTTCCTTATTATAAAAGATGAATGGTTTCTGATGTCACAGATCATTAACATACCATGCTTAAAAATTGGCTAAACTTTCCCTCACATAATTGGCAGGCTTGCCTTTTGACCCCCTAATTATACATCATGGGTCCTCCTCTGTTATCATTGCTAATACCTTACAATTACAGGTTGAGTAAAAATAATCGTCTACTTTTTCCCTCTAAGAAGAGCATTGTGGCTAATTGTGTGGTTTTACCCAGTTCCTGTGTAATTCAAGAACCCCATCTTTTCTTTAGGTTGAACAGTCTCAGTCTCCTCAGCCTCTTCAAATACAGATGAAATGTGTGAGGGGCTTGAAGAACAAGGCCCCCCAAGGCTCTTACCTCATCAAAGTGTCCCTGCTTAGTCATCTAGGTGGTGGTGTCTTGCAGTGGTGCCAAACAGCACAGCTAAAGATTAGGACCTGCCCAGTGAGGCATGATGGAAACTTTTACGACGTGGGGCTGTATTTCCATGAAAACCTTTATGTGGTAAGCTGGTCTTTGGGGCATATATCACTTTTTATTTAGTTTCCCCGCTCTCTCCATCTCTATCCATGTACCTTCAGGTATTCAACTTTGTATAAGTACACACCATTTCCTTCCTTCTTTCTTTCCTTCAGCAAATACCCAATAACCACCCCTATGTGCCAAGTGTTCTGTTGTGGTTCTTACATAGACACTCTGAGTCCTCTGTAAAACAGAAATTCCATCCTTATATATAAAAACATATATTATGGATTCCTGGTGTGGTTTGTCACCTTCTCAGGATTTGTATGCTGAGAGATCACTACTATATGTATTTTATATGTAACATGTATTTTGACTTGTATGTTTTTTGTGTGTATTTTACCTGTGTTTAGGCAGTCAGGGACACTGATGTTAGGTGTCAGGGACACCAAGCTTTAGGTAAGAGTAGATGTTTGAGGGATCATTCAGAAAATACATTATGAATATAGGGGAGTGTGCTTACCATGCAAAGGGATTGGAGAAGACACCATGCTGGGAGAGAGAGGAAGCAGTAAGTAAGATTAGAGAGCTGTCATGGATTCAGGGATAAGGAGTAGAGGTAGAAGATCATTAGGTAACCTGTGGAAGCAGAGAGGGAGAACTCCAGCCCAGGGAAAATAAAGAAAGCCGAGTAGTTGGTCCCAGAACCTCTTGCATGCTGGTTCATTGGGTGCTGAGCATGAGCACAGACTGCTCACAAATATAGAATTGCCTCTCACACTATTAATTTGAATGACTAAAGCAAACATTATAAGAGTTGATATAGTATCACAAAGTGATTTTTTAATTAGAAAATAATTTCTCTCTACAATAGGTAGTAGTGTGCTTTCCTTCCCCATTTCCCTTAGGTTTGCATTGAAAGGTACCTTTAAAATTACTTTTAGTATGTGGTATTTTGTTAAAGGTGAGAATATACTATTCACATGAATATATTCCTCATATAATGTGTTACATTTATTCCAGGCACTGAGTGACCAATTGAAATTAAAATGAAAAGTGCAGCTGTGAAAATGAGCAACTTTGTAACATAGACTTAAAAATCACAAACTTAGGATTTTATTATTTACTTCCAATATTTGAAAAGAAATCAGATTTTTAATCTCTATTTATTGCCACATTTATTTTTAGATATCTAAAACATTTTGAGGAAAGTGACAGTTTTTCTTTCCCAACTCCGAGTTGTTTGGAAGTTGATAAGGGTTAAAAACAAAAACAGCCTATTGTTGGAAGCCATGTACTAAACAGACATTTAGGGAAGGTTGCAGCTTAACCCTAAGTAACCCCACGCTGTACCACTGCTAACGTTAGACATGGTTGATCAGGTTGGTAGTGGTGGTAGTACTGGTGACACCAGAAGTCCTTTTGAAACAGAGACTTGAACTATGCCTATAGTTCAAGGGAAAAAAACTATATGGGAAATACAGATTTCACATTTATGGAAAACTATATGGGAAAAAAACTTCCTAAAGGAAAAAGTATCTTGGGCTGACAAGAATTGCTGAGGAATGAAGCCTCAGCTGGCTCATTTGTGAAATGGGAATAATACCTGCCCACTGGTGATGTTGTAAGGAATGACTGAGATAGTTTGCAGAAGTACATAGTGCCAATACGTAGTAAGAATTCAGAAGCTTCTTTTATTATTACTCTTATCATTATTCTGTCTCTTTGTTAGTGAAGCCCATAAATTCTTGCCCAGTTGACTTTCATTTTAATATATATGAAAAGTGCTCATATTTCAGATAACTTTTGAATTAACCTTGCTTGATAACAATCTAGGTTAACAATTTTTTTTCTCTAGGGAGTCATCCCAAAGGTCCTGTTAAGAAGTGTGAGATACGTGTGAGAAGTGTTAGTTAGGAGTGGGGATGGAGAGCACTTTTCCCCTGGGGATTCCATTGCCTCTACAAAGCCAGACTTTGAGGACAGGTACCAAGCCAGCAATAGGCATAGTCCTGCCCCTGGGATGAGTTCTTTATTCTCACCATTTACCTCAGAGAAATTTCAGGAATGTGGTGCTAGCTAAGGTTTTAGTTAATAATTTTTAAAAAGTGCCCAACCAGTAATGAATAGGCAATACATTTTTTTGGTGCATTTTAATTAAGTACTGTACCTGAGAATTTAAAGTATAGGAGCTAGGCTACAGAAATATTATTCAAAGAGCTTGATTTCTAGAACCATCTGCATAAACAACTGTTGTACATGGAAGATAAGTATTTTTGCTACTGTTACTATTGGTTTAGTCATGCATCCCTGTCTTGCCCATCAGTGTGAACTCTGAGTGCAGAAGCCACATCTATGGCTGTGCTTGCTTTGAGAATATCTCATGCCTGCTGTTGAATATTCCTAACAGAATGTGCTACTGATCAATGCCAGGAAAACGAAAAGGTCCATTCTGGGAGAAGGGAAAAATCATTAAGAGACTGTGTTTGCAAAACTGTTCACTGTGTTAAAAAGTGCATCAAGTCTGTAGGGGAGAGCAGAGGCTGGTTATTCCTCCAAGAGCAAAATGCTTTTTTCCCTTTCCTGCCAAACAGAACAAAAAGTATCTTGGAATAGTTGAAATAAGAACCCCCAATTTTTTCCCCTGTGTCAGAAGCAAACAAACATAAATAATTACCTCCTGCCACAGTCAAGGAAATTTTACTCTTTAACAGCCTGACAAAATGTCGCTGAATTACATCCATCCCTGGGTATATCCTAGCAAAATCCTGGGTCTCCAAAGAAATACACTAGGCTATTTCACATTCAGTGTATATAAGAAAAGAAAAGAAATTCAGGCTAAAAGCAAAAATAAGAAAAACACCAAAACCTCCAGAACTTGACAGGAAGGAGAAGTCATCAGAGGCTGTTTGATTTCAGAATAAAAATGCTGTTACTCAAAGTTTTGTTCATTCCATTGGGCTCTACCCAATAACAGCAAGTTTTTTCACTCACCACACAATTCTGCCTGCCAGTCACTCTGCTAACAGTTTGTAGGAGACTGACAGTTGAAATAGTGAGTTTTCAAGTAATGTAAATTTTTTATTGATTATGCTATTACAGTTGTCCCATTTTCTCCCCTTCACTCCCTTCCACCCTGCATACCCTCTCCCACCCACAGTCCCCCCCTTTAGTTCATGTCTAGGTGTCATACTTATAATTTCTTTAGCTTCTACATTTCCCACACTATTCTTGCCCTCCTTCTGTCTATTTTCTACCTACCATCTATGCTACTTATTCTCTTTATCTTTTCCCTTTCTCTCCTCCTCCCACTCCCCTGTTGCTAACCCTCCATGTGATCTTCATTTCTGCAGTTCTGCTTCTGTTCTAGTTGTTTGCTTTTGTTTTTGTTTTATGTGCAGTTGTTAATAATTGTGAGTTTGCTGTCATTTCACTATACATGTTTTTTATCTTCTTTTTCTTGGGTAAGTCCTTTTAACATTTCATATAATAAGGGCTTGGTGATGATGAACTCCTTTAACTTGACCTTCTCTGGGAAGCACTTTCTGCCCTTCCATTCTGAATGAAAGCTTTGCTGAATAGAGCAATCTTGGATATAGGTCCTTGCCTTACATAACTTAGAATAGTTCTTTCCAGCCCCCTCTTGCCTGCAAGGTCTCTTTTGAGAAATCAGCTGACAGTGTTATGGGGACTCCTTTGTAGGTGACTGCCTCATTTTCTCTTGCTGCTTCTTGAATTCTCTCCTTCATTTTAATCTTGGGTAATGTAATTATGGTGTGCTTTTGTGTGTTCCTCCTTGGGTCTACCTGCTTTGGGACTGTCTGAACTTCCTGGACTTCCTGGAAGTCTACTTCCTTCACCAGATTGGGGAAGTTCTCCTTTATTATTTGTTCAAATAACTTCCACTTGTTGCTCTTCTACCTGTTGCTCTTCTTCTTCCCCTTCTGGTACCCCTATAATTCGATGTTGGAATGTTTAAAGATGTCCTGGAGGATCCTAAGCCTCTCCTCATTTTTTCTGAATTCTTGTTTCTTCATTCTTTTCTGATTGGACGTTTCTTCCTTCTGGTCTACTCCATTGATTTGAGTCCCAGTTTCCTTCCCATCACTATTGGTTCCCTGTGCATTTTCCTTCATTTCACTTAGTGTAGCCTAATTTTTTAAATCTAATTTGCAACCAAATTCAACTAATTCTGTGAGCATTCTGATCACCAGCATTCTGAACTGTGTATCTGATAGGTTGGCTATCTCTTCGTCACTTAGTTGTATTTGTTCTGGACCTTTGGTCTATTCTTTTTTTAAAAGATTTTTATTTATTTGTCTTTAGAGGGGAAGGGAAGGAGAGAGGGAGAGAAATATCAGTGCATGGTTGCCTCCCTGCTGGGAACTGGCCTGCAACCCAGGCATATGCCCTGACTGGGAATCGAACCGTGATCCTTTGGTTCACAGGCCTACACTCAATCCACTGAGCTACACCAGCCAGGTGGTCTATTCTTTTGTTTGGGCCATTTTTTGTCTTGATGCACCTGTTATGTAATAAGGGGCGGAGCCTTAGGTGTTCACCAGGGTGGGGCATCCCAGTTGCTAGGTTGTGATGTTGTTGTGGGGAAGGGGTTGAGAGGGAACAATGGGGCTTGCTTCACCCTCTGCCAGATTTTAGTCCCTTCTGCAGCTTTCCCCAAGCAAACCCGGCCTTTCTGGTGCTGATTCCCATGTGGGTGGGTTTGTGTACAGTTTAGGACCTGTGGGTCTTTCCAATGAACTCTCCTGTGAGGCTGGGAGTTTCTCCCGACACCTGACCCCCCACAGGTGTTTTGAGCCTTTTTTCCCTTTGCTGGACCCCTGGGTTGCATGGTCTGTCTTGCTCCCCAGTTTTGCCTGGTTTATCTGAGCACAAATGTGGGACTGCTGCATTTGACAGCTACCTTGTGCACCTCACCCCTCCACAATCTGTTGCCTTGCTGGGTCTGCCCACTGCCACCCTGCACCCAGGGTCTGCCAGCTGCCGCCTGTGTGCCTGGGATCCACCAGCTGCTACCTTAT